TATATATATTTAAATAAACCAGAACTAAAATCAAGAAAGACGGACTCCTTCCTTATTCAGATATGTCCAATTAAAGAACTGGGGTATAACAATACCATCATGTCTGGAACACCACAGGATCCTACAGGATTCTGGACCACTTTGTTCAGTGCGCTGCCTCACTACCTGGATATGGACAAAAAGCTAACTAACCAGATTAATTAATCCAGTGTGACAGAGCATGCTCACTGAGACTTACATGGGTCCAGTTTGTTAGCCCAGCCAGACTGATGTTGCCAGAGGCATCCACACAGGGACAGGATGGGTTGATCACCATAGAGACGGACGGACAGATGTAACAGCGAGGGCGGGACACAGGGTGGGTCTCATGAAGCCAAATGCACACTGGGATATTATACTCACTTCCTGTGAAGACACCAGGCAGTCAGAGGCAGGTGTTACAAAATGAGACCAGATCCAGATCAGACTGTATGTGGTGATGTGGGGATTGCTTTTTATGTTCTGGTGCAGCATGTTAATAACATGTAACATGTGATGAAAGACTTGAATGAGCAGCCAACCAGAACACAAAATGGAATAAAATCCATCTCACTGTCTCACCTTCATAGTGAACAGGCAGAGTCCCAGCCAGGTACACCAGCCTCTTCTTCTCTTTGTTAGGAAAACCTGTGAAAAACAGATGAAGCCAAGTGCTATGTTGAATCAAAGTCAAAGTCCAGTCTAAAGTCTGCAATACAAACATGCTTCAGTGAATGAATGAAAGAAAGTAGAAACAATAATATGCTTTACTCACAGTAGAAATCCACATAAAGACGAAGATCAGAGAAAAGTGATCGAACTTTCTGAAGATCTGAGAGAGTTTCTACTGGATAACTGTACTGACACTGGGGGTGGGGGAAGGAGGCAGAGAGAGAGGAGATATAAGATGAACAGTATAAACAGGGACCCATCACAACCCGTTGGAGCTAAAACTGAGGATACACGAATAGAAGTGTGACGACACACTTGGCTCACGAGACAAGACGATATTGGGTTCACAAGAACGAGACGATATTTTAACACTAGTTTTGAATTTTTAAAGATTTATTTTATTTTATTTTTAAGAACAGTGGAGCCTGCCAAAAAATTCATCTAATCTTTTAACTTTAGTGTTTGTTGTAATCATGTGGTATGGCAGCCATTTTCCAATGCAGAGGAGTGACAAGATTGTTACTTTTTCATAATTACAAAGTGTACTTTCTATATTGTGTGAATATTTTGTTACAATCTGCAAGATTTAGTGTTTTGATTCGAAAATGTGCATTTATAATTTATCAGCCACCCTGTAAATAGCTACTTCTGTGGCGTTTACAACAAACCAAACAGCGTGAAAATCGGCACTCAATTCAGCTAGTTAAGATGACTTTAGTGTGGATAGACCTTCTATCCTCACGCGTATATGCACTAGGAGGCGGAGCCTCGCCCCTGGGAACATGGCGGCCACGGTGACGTATCGCCGTAAAACACAGAAGTGGCTCATGCGGAATCTTGTGTATATATCTGTTAAGACGCAAAGAAACGAAGCAATGGAGGGAAATGTGCATGCAGTCAGGGAGCTGGGAATCTCAATTCGGGCCATTAGTGAGGTCAGATCTTGTAGTTGTTAGCACGTAACTAACTAGGGTAACACTTCTGAATGGATCCCTGTTAGCCTCGAGGGCTATCCGGTTAGCAGAGGGTCAAGTAATACGCTAACTTATTTCCTAAGTAACAAAGTTTGATTTGAACTAAAGATGAGGGCTTAACGTTTTGTCCTCACCTCCATCAGAGTCCGTCGCTCCTCCTCAGCTTCTACTCTTGGCATTTTCTCCAAAAACCTCTCATAAACTGTTAACAGCTGCTGTTCAGAGGCATTCGTTTAAACAGAACACACCCACGTCCGTTTCCAGTTTTTCAAATTAAAAGCAAATTATTACAATTCTACTTATTTGTGTAGGGCCAAAGAACAGATACGTGACTTCCGACACAGCATCTGCATTGTATTTGCTCAGCTGAAGCATTGGCTGGTCCAGCTGGCTTGTAGTGGCAGTCTCCTGAGAGCCGAATCCGTTCAGTTGTCCAACTACTGACATTGTTCTACCAAGATTGTCAAACAAAGGAAGAATATACTGCTAGTAGCCACAGTGAGGCAACTATATTATCACTGACAGCAATACTAATTAATGATAAAACAACATTTCCTCCCACAGTACAAAGACATGCAGCATAGGTTGATTGGTGTCTCTAAATTGCCCGTTGAAGTGATTGCGCGTGTGAATGGTTGTTCGTCTCTGTGTTAGCCCTGCGATGGACTGGCGACCTGTCCAGGGTGTACCACGCCTCTCACCCGCAGCTGGCTGGGATTAGCTCCAGCCCCCCGTGACCCCGTTTAGGACTAAGCGGTTTATGGATGGATGGACAACACTATTATATCAGCCTAACTATAAGCTTTATCAAAAAGGAAAGTCTTAAGTTTACTCTTAAAGGTAGAGAGGGCGTCTGCCTCAGTGCCTCCTGAACTGAGACTGGAAGCTAGTTCAACAGGAGAGGAGCTTGGTAGCTAAAGGCTCTGCCTCCCATTCTACTTCTGTGGATTCTAGGAACCACAAATAGACCTGCACTCTGAGAGCCAAGTGCTCTGTTGGGATTATAAGGCTCTATGAGGTCTTTAAGATATGATGGAGCCTTGTCATTAAGGGCTTTGTATCTTAGGATTTTAAAGTGCCCATTATGTGCTCATTTCCAGCCATTTAATGTTTAATCTTGGCTACCTCTAGATTATCTTTGCATCCACCATAACTCCAAATAGTCTGCAATTATCTCAGAATGATAAAACCAAAGACCCTTTGTGAACACACACAACTCCCGTTGCCGGTGTTGTGTCCCAAGTGGACAGCACAACAGTGATGGCATTAATTTGAATTTCTCCTCCACAGATAGGTAAACATTGGTATATGTACTGATGAAAAGAGATGTGTAACACTCTAAACAAAGCAGGTAGTTGAGAAACCCCATGTTTTAAGTGGCATAATGCAGACATAGTAGCTTCTGCAGTCTTTGGGGAGGCAACAGTGGTGTGGTGGGTAGAGCAGGCGTCTCCCAACCAGAAAGTTGAAGATTCAAATCTCAGTGCCAGCACTCCACGTGTTGAAGTGTCATTGGGAATAAACTACCTCACAAACAGACCTCAGTTCATAAGGCTGTGGGACTGTGTGTCGGATGTGGTAGTCTGAAGCACAGGACGGTGCTTTCCCCCTTTCTGTTCACCCTCTACACGTCGGACTTCAAGTACAACTCCCACCAGTGTCATCTACAAAAGTTCTCAGATGACACTGCTATTGTTGTTGTGTATTGATGTGTATCGGGGGGGAAATACAGGGGGGTTGTTACTGACTTTGTGGAGTGGTGTGAGAAAAATCACCTGGTCCTGAACACCAGCAAGACTAAAGAGATGGTGATTGACCCCCGGCGGAAATCACCAGTACTCACTCCGGTGAGCTTGCAGGGCTCAGATATTGAGATTGTGGACACCTTTAAATACCTGGGTGTCCACCTCAACAATAAACTGGATTGCACCAACAACACACATGCCCTGTACAGGAAGTGCCAGAGCCGCCTCCACTTGTTGAGGAGACTGAAGCCCTTTGGTGTGCGCGGGGCACTCCTTGAGACATTTTATGATTCTGTGGTGGCATCTGCAGTTTTTTACGCTGTTGTGGGTTGGGCAGGAGGTAGCACAATCAGGGACAGAAAGAGACTCAACAAACTGGTTAAGAGAGCTGGTTCTGTCCTGGACTGCTCTCTGGATTCCATCGAGGAGGTGGCGGACAGAAGGATGCTGGTAAAACTAACATCCACCATGCATAACCCCTCCGATCCCCTGCACCACACAGTGGTGGTTCTGAACAGTTCTTTTAGCATGAGACTGTTACATCCCCAGTGTAAGAAGGCGCATTACCATAGGTCATTCCTCCCCACAGCCATCAGACTGTACAACACATCACTGCAGTGATAAGTTAGGTGAAATTATGAGGGACTATGCAGTAATCTACTGTGGTCAATATTTCAGCTCCTGGGGGTGAAATGCATTATAAATAGGCTCATGTGTAATATCTTGTTCCTGATCTCTCTCAAATACTGTACTTGGCTATTTAGGAGTAGTTGCTCAGAGATCCTTATTGCTGAAACACAGGTTTCTTTCCCCCATTGTGGGATTAATTGTGTAATATTTGATTGTTCTTGATTTCCTGGTTGTTTAGTCTCTACTGCTGTTCCTGATTCTCTCCAGTGCTGCTTTGCCCTGTTTTTAGGTGCCTTTGATTTGCTTATTTGTGCTGTGTAAAATGTAACGTTCTGATGACGCTACTTTTATAACCGTCCATATCGGTTCTAATGCTTTGTTGCCTTTATGTAACTTTTTATTTTAAGACTAAGTGTTCTTTCTTACTACGTACTTACGCACGCATGCGCCGCGCGGAGTGGCAACAAGTTACAGCAGCTGTGTCCTCATTGTGTTCTTTCCCGTGTTTCAATGAAGTTCTGTTCTTATGTGTCTGTTCTTATGGTGTTATGTTGGTTGTTCTCTATTGCTGCTGTAACACAGAAATTTCCCCACTGTGGGATCAATAAAGTACCTACCTACCTATAAACGAGGATACACAAGCGTATCCGTCACAGGAGTCTGTTATGGATTGACACACCCCTTTGTTAGAAATCAGTTTGTGATTGGATGAGTCACATGAGCAATTAGAAGAAAGGAGGTTCATGTCAGTTAAAACACGTCACTTCGCTTCCTCTCTCCTCCCGGCTTCTCCTCGCATCATACGTGGGCGAGACTAAGATACAAGGACAAGATGCAAACAAGGGAAATGTGGATGGGTCTTAGTGAATACCAGCCAGGACCTAGAGTTTCACATGCAGCTTTTTTCCCCACTGGGCTGCTCAGTGTTATATGATGTGACGTAAAGGCAGCTACCTGCTGGCCATGACACTTGTGACAAATGACAGATGAGAAAGAAGTTACTGTGATGCTTTATTCATCTTTGAATATAGATTTTGAAATAATTCAACAAAACAGGAGTCAGATGGTCTGAATCATATTTACACCAATGTAGATTTAAGCTAACCCTCTATACCTCTTTATGATCAGCTGACAAACTCAAATTCCCATCAGCCCCTGCACAGGAAGTCTCACTGACTCAGATAGGCATGGCCCTCCACTCCTTCCCCTCAGTTAGAGCTCGTGGCTGGTGGATGAACACGCTGTATCGAACACCCTGATTAGCCGCCGCCCTGACGAATCGGCTGTTTGCCGTCATGGTAACAGCTCTTAGTGAATCTCCGGTGCCAAAAATCATGAGGGAGCGTTGGTTGATCTTGGCACTGGGCATGAGCCGTAGTGTCCGCTCTGATGGCTGGTCATCCACCAGGTGGAGGCGGGCCAGCAGCTTCTGAGCACGATCCTTCTCACCTGGGCCCCCCAGCGTGTCCAGGATCAGCTGAAAGTCAGAGACAGCAGCGTGGCAGGCAAACAGCTCTTTCCCCGCCATAAAGGCATCAAGCTGTGGCAGGGGCCGCCGGGGGGGGGGCCCGGGCTCTGTCAGGACTGGCTCCCTGAAGGTGAAGTGACAGCGGCCATGACTCAGCGATGACACGTACGTGATGAGCGTGGTGATGTCCAGGTTCACCCGCCGACACTCCTCCACCTGCACCTGGGTGGGAAAGGCCAAGCTGGCCACCACCATGCCACGATCAACCCGGGTTAGCTCAGATGCCACCACCTCCTCCTCCTCATCCTCTTCTTCTTCATGTTTATTTTCAGTTGCATCCCCCTCCTCATCTTCATCTTCTGCACTTTCTCCCTCCATCATCATGGTGTTTACAGCAACAATGTCGCCGCGGACGGAGATGCCCATTTCCCTGAGGCGATCAGCCATGGGGCAGGAGACCCCGTTGTAGAAAGCAAAGATGATGTGGGGGTGTTGGTAGTGGACAGGCTGCTGGAGGCTGGCCTGCAGGAAGTCCTCCGCCTGCCTGATGATGCTCTTGTCCCCATACTGACCCCGTCCCTGCCAAATGTTGTGTAGAGCCTCTGCCTTTCTGCCCACTGCCTTCACCCAGGTGTGTCCTCCATTAGCCACTACATCTACCACCAGCGTCCGCTGTCGACCAGAGGTGTCCTGGTAAGTAAAAACATGCAGAAGCGCCACTACATCCTCCAGACTCTCGGCTGACTCCACAATGGCTGTCAGGTGAGTCAGGTTGGTGCTGTGCAGATGAGACTCTTTGACCTGCAGCTCTCCCGTCTCCACCCGCCACAGGAAGCGCAGCTCGGCTCGCAGTTTACCGCAGAGCTTCTGATGACCCTCCACACCCTGGCACATCTGCTCCGCCCGCTGCAGCAGCTTCTTAGCGGAGCTGATCCTCTGCTGCAGCACCACCTGCACAGACATGACTAGATCACACCTGTGGACAAACAGACAGGTGAGACTGGTGAACACCTGGACACACTGACTGAAATTACAGATTACTGATAATCAACCACTATGGACAGTGCAAGTTTGAATCATTGGGAGACAAAAGGAATAAATATTCTGTTTCGTAAGAAATATACTGACAGACAGCATAAAGATAGAAAAACAAACTAAAATTTCAACTAAAAACTGCTTTTAATTTGACTAAAAATGTTATTTTTTTAGTTATTTTTGGTGATAAGTGCTTGGAGTGCTGTTTGCCGATAGCTCACAGTATAGTTTGTAACTAAGCACTGCACACACTGATCAGCCATAACATTATGACCACCTGCCTAACACTGTTTACATAGGAGTCCATGTGGCTGTCGGTCGCACTTGTGTCACTCTGCAGCTCACTGTATCTTCAATGAATCAATTTGCTTCCACAGTTCTACTGTCAGGAAGAGCACAGTGTCTACATTGATAATTCTCCCATCTTCCCTTCCCCTCAGGTTAAGAGTCTGGGTGTCATCCTCGACAGTACCTTATCATTCCAGAGCCACATTAATAACATCACCCGGTCAGCATATTTCCACCTACATAACATTAATCGCCTTCGCCCTTCCCTCACTCCCCATACCACTGCAATATTTGTTCGTAGTCTGGTCACTTCACGTCTTGATTACTGTAACTCTCTTTTTGGTCTTACTCACATATCCCTTCAGAAACTTCAAATGGTTCAGAATTCTGCCGCCCGTATCATCACCAAAACCCCTTCCTCTCATCACATTACCCCTGTGTTGAAGCAGCTTCACTGGCTGCCTGTGTTGTTCCGGATTAACTATAGCATCATTCTTTACACATTTAAAGCTATTCATAATCTTTCCCCTCCTTATCTGTATAACCTTATTCATATTGCCACCCCCCCTCCCGCTCTCTCCGCAGTGCCTCCTCTCTCCACCTCACTGTTCCGTCTGCCCGCCTCACCACTATGGGGAGCCGGGCATTCAGATTCCACTTAATCCTCACTTTCCTGCACCATGCCTTATTTTGTCTTTTTGACTATATTTTATCAAGTTTGTTTTATTTGAGTTATCATGGTTTTATTTATTACTAATGTATTGTACTGTTTTATCATGTGTTTTGCTGTACGGCGACCTTGAGTGCCTAGAAAGGCGCCTTACAAATAAAATGTATTATTATTTTTATTACAATTCAGTGGAAAACCTATGTAAAAGGAGTGAAAACTGGTCGTGAGGACGAGTTTGAGAGAATGTTTAGACCAGGGGTGCCCAAAATTTTTCGCCTTGCGAGCTACTTCTCAAACGACCAAGTCAAAATGATCGACGTGCGCGCGCGCGCACACACACACACAAAATATATGTATGAATGAGTGTCGATTTTATGAACAGTCTGAAAGTGCCGCTCCACATTTCCCTTCTTCGGAATAGTGATGGTAGATCAAACAAACGCATTTCAAATATAACGTCGCTAAAATAAAAAGTCCTCCTGCCATTCCACATGGAATGTTTTGGTACGTTTTCGGTTTCTTCCTTGATTCTGCTCCGCCCCTCTTTTTATACCCTTTAGTAGAAATTATTTCGAAGGCTGACAAGGTAGTTCACTCACTGGAGTTTTGCAGTAGCTTGTGCGGTTAACTGTGCATGTTTGGTGACTCGTGTGTCAGAAAAGACGAGATCTCAGACTGGCTGTCCTGCATGTCAATCAAGTAGCAAATGCCATAGGGAGGATGGATGATAGGCTATATATGAATGATTGTCACTTTCTGCTTTTGTTGTTAGGGGTCGCCATAGCGAATTATCACACTGACCATTCGCATGTTAACATTTGGCACGTGTTTTACGCCGGATACATCTAATTTATTTTTGAATGGCACGCGATCTACCAACACTACCTTTGCGATCGACGTATTGGGCACCCCTGGTTTAGACAAATCCAACAGCCTCACTCTAGGTGTGATATCATCACTACAGCCCCTGACTCTTTCTCTTCATAGAGACCAATGTACAGTGTTTCTCATTTTCAACCGCTTTAACAACGTTTCAAATAAATTTTAATCTTTTGAACAGTACAAATGGAAGTTAAAAGGTTAATCAACAGTAGATCAACCTCACCATCAGTGAGCCGTGGGCATCCATGACACGCCAGTTCACCATGTGTCCGTTCTTAGACACTGTTGGTAGGTACTAACCACTGCAGACCAACAACACTCACCAATACCTGCAGACTGGGAGATGTTCTGACCCACAAATCCAACAGCCTCACTCTAGGTGTGATATCATCACTACAGCCCCTGACTCTTTCTCTTCATAGAGACCAATGTACAGTGTTTCTCATTTTCAACCGCTTTAACAACGTTTCAAATAAATTTTAATCTTTTGAACAGTACAAATGGAAGTTAAAAGGTTAATCAACAGTAGATCAACCTCACCATCAGTGAGCCGTGGGCATCCATGACACGCCAGTTCACCATGTGTCCGTTCTTAGACACTGTTGGTAGGTACTAACCACTGCAGACCAACAACACTCACCAATACCTGCAGACTGGGAGATGTTCTGACCCAGTCATCTCACCACCACAGTCTGGCCCTTGTCAAAGTCACTCAGATCCTTACACTGGCCCATTTTTCCTGCTTTCCAAAGTGACATCAACTATGAGGCCCAAATATCACTTTTTTCGTGGAACCATCTAAACGTTGGACTTAATGTTTTCACTGAATAAGTTACGTTAACAAACATCGCTCGTTAGCTCTAATGCTAACTCCGTTTTCATTGTGAAATGTGACGTCACCCTGCAAACTTAATTTAGCCATTCTGAAGTTTATGTCGTTTAAAAAAATATTTAAAACACTTGGAACATTTAGAAAACAAACGCAACGTTGACTTACGGAGGCAGTAGCGTGCTAACTTTATTCCATGAGTTCGTGCACAAAAATCTGCTAATGCTAAAGGTAATTGACTGCTACAACTTCGTCTTCTTCATCCGCTCCGCTGAAAGGAACAGGAGGTTTCCTTCTTCTTCTTGGTGTATTTTAAGCAAACAACGAAATAGGGAATTACCGCCACCAACTGGACTGGAGTGTGGATGAGGAAGCTAACATTTAGCGCCAGTTGAAGTTGAACGGTCTTGAACTATAGGGCGTTAAAAACAGGATATCTAAACAAAACTAACTCACATGTATCTACACAACTTCTTTGTAAAATATCACACATTTCCCTAAGTTTCAGCATTGATTTCTTCTTCTCAGCCTCATATTTTGGACAATTAAATAGGCCTATGACATGTTGTAATGTCTCCTCACAACCACAGAACTTACACCTTCCAGTTTCATGTATCTGCATTTTAAACAAGCCCTGTACGACCGAACTGTCTGGATGTTATGATCTCCTCTCTCGCTCCTTACTGTGCTTCTCAAGCTGTTAATTTGCACATACTCTACTCACAGAATACTGCTGTATTCATTTGCACACTGATATGCTGATACTGTATATTTATCTTTATCTTTGCACTATTTACATCCAATGAACTGGTTTCAGGTGCAAGAGGTGTGGTGTGGACAGGGGCCAGAGAGGGCAAGAAATAAACACAAGGCCCGAAGATAGCGGACTGTGGTGGTGGTGGGGGGGGGGGGGGGTTGGGGGGGGGTTAGGATACCAGGGAGACAAGTTTTTACTTGATTTATCCAAATTTGTGCTAAGTTAGTTAATGCAGCTTTAAATGTACTTGTCTTTTTAAGGCTTAAACAGACAAAATGTAAACATTTTCATGTCAGTTTTATTCAGTATTTGCTGTTTCAGCTTAACTGATACAATGTCAAGTTTAAACTTCGAACACAATGCTAAACAGAACCAATGAAAAACACACTGTCAGAAATAATAAATACTTTTTATTGACCGACTGAACAGAAGTTGATTGACAGCATGCTGAACAACGCTAAGGCACATGAAGCTGTGACATCAGAGGTCAGGTGGCTTCAGATTAGCTACCTGCTTCCTTTGATACATCAGTTATAAAAACACACCTGAGCAGGCGAGATGCCACCTCATGCACATGAAAAAACTAAAACTCAGTCCAATCAGGAGGCAGCTCACCTGGACAGAGAGAGAAAACACTGCAGGGTTGTCACCTGGATGTTCCCCTGTCTGATAGGTCACCTGTCAGGAAGTCAGGGGTCACAGCAGGAGGAGGTGGAGTCAGGGGTCAGGACCTTTCATTAGCTCTTGGCCTGTTTCCTCTTCTGAACAAGCTCTGCCAACATCTTATAACGAATCATACACTCCTCCTGACAACGTAAATCAGTTAACAATCAATCAGTTGATAATCATTTAACAAACAGGCTGAACAGGTCATGTGTGCAAAATAGGACAATCAAATGTGGACTATTAAATATCAGATCTCTCTCATCTAAATCTCTGTTAGTGAACAATTTGATAAGTGAACATCACATTGATTTACTGTGTCTGACTGAATCCTGTTCACAGCAGGAAGAACGTGTCAGTCTAAATGAATCCACCCCACCTGGTCACAGTAACTGTCACAGGCCAAGGTGGAAGTGTGGCACTGAGCTTCAACTCGAGCCTATTAATCAACCCTAGACCTAAACATAGTTATGACTCATTTGAAAGTCTCACCCAAAGTCTCACACACCCTAACCCTCAGTCAGGTTTTAGAGTCCATCATAGTACAGAAACTGCATTGGTGAAAGTCACCAATAATCTTCTAGCCTCAGACAAAGGACTTGTCTCCATACTTGTCCTCTTAGATCTCAGTGCTGCTTTTGACACGTTGATCACAGCATGTTATTGGGATTAAAGGAACTGTACTAAGTTGGTTCAAATCTTATTTATCAGAAAGATTTCAATTTGTTCATGTTAATGATGAATCTTCTACACACACACTGAAGTTAGTCACAGTGTTCCACAGGGCTGTGGTAGGTCCAATTCTCTTCACTTTATACATGCTTCCTTTAGGCAATATTATCAGGAAGCACAGCATAAATTTCCATTGCTATGCAGATGATACTCAGTTATATTTATCTGTGAAGCCAAATGAATCAGATCAGCTGGTCAAACTTCAAGCATGTCTTAAAGACATAAAGGCCTGGATGACCTGTAATTTCTTACTTCTAAATGCAGACAAAACTAAAGTTATTGTACTTGAGCCTGAAACAAACATGGAGGAGAAATATGCTATCTAACCATATAGTTAGTCTAGATAACAACACTTCAGTACTACTGTGAGGAACCTTGGAGTCATTTTTTTTAACCAGAATATGTCCTTGAAATCACAAATGAACCAAGTCTCTAAAACAGCCTTCTTTCACCTACACAATGTCACCAAAATCAGGAGCATTCTGTCTCAAAGTGATGCTGAGAAACTGGTCCATGCATTTGTTACTTCCAGGCTGGACTACTGTAACTCTTTACTATCAGGGCATCCCAGTAGTTCCCTAAAAAGCCTCCAGTTAATCCAAAATGCTGCAGCCAGAGTACTGACAGGAACTAGCAAGAGAGATCATATCTCTCCCATATTAGCTTCTCTCCACTGGCTCCCTGTAAAATTCAGAATAGAATTTAAAATCCTTCTCCTAACATACAAAGCCCTTAATGACAAGGCTCCATCATATCTTAAAGACCTCGTAGAGCCTTATCATCCTAACAGAGCACTTCACTCTCAGAGTGCAGGTTTACTTGTGGTTCCTAGAGTCCACAGAAGCAGAATGGGAGGCAGAGCCTTTAACTATCAAGCTCCTCTCCTATGGAACCAACTCCCAGTCTCAGTTCAGGAGGCGGACACCCTCTCTACCTTTAAGATTAGACTTAAGACGTTCCTTTTTGATAAAGCTTGACGGCCCCCTACAAGTGGACTGGCATGTAAATAGGCAGGCAATCTACCTGCCTGTCAGCCCTCACCTTGGTCTTCCCAGGGACCACCTTGGCGATGCGGTCCCAGCGTTCAACGGTTCCTCGAGGATACTGCTGCAGAGCGAGTTCCAACAGTTTCTGTTGGCTCTGACTCCAGGCAGCGGGGTCCACCTTCTCCCTGCTCTCCTGAGGCTCTACCTCATCTTCCACTGCTGCTGGGTCGAAATCTTTCTGCCGACGACCTCTGATCTTCACCTCCCCCCCATCTGCTGCTGAAGACTTCCTGTTCCTTCGTCGAACCACAGTACCTGCTTCCTCTTCCTCCTCCTCCTCCTCCTCACAGCCCCCACCCATGTTCTGAGTCATCACACTAACAGCAGGATGTGACCTCACAGGAGGCAGGCCCTTCAGCTCAGACAACTTCACCAGACCTGAAACAGAGAACACCACGGGTACTTACAACTAACAGTAGAACCCATTACTGACTGTAGGACCACAGTAGACCCAGATAATGGTAGTAGAACCACACACTGGCAGTACAACCAATTACAGCAGAAGTAGAGCTTACCCGAAGTGTGGCTCACATTGTCTTTTATCTGTTTGACTTTAGTTGTGACCTGTTGAAGAAAACATATTTTATTTGTTTCAGTCGCACATTAAACATCTGTTCTCAGTCAGTGGCAGATCTTTCACAGGTGTCACATATACCAGGTGTTTCAGATTCATCACTGAGTCCATTACACAGAAAGGTCTAGGATGAGTTAGTTTAGCAGAAAGATTGGATGCAGATGACATCAGCTAGCTAATAACCTAGCTCAAAACAAACAAACAAAAAAAATCCAATTTAAAAAGCTCCAAGTCTGAAATACATCCTGTATTTTGTTTTGAATCCTTTGAGAAGCACCGGCTTATGATGGGTGAATGGCCTATGTTCTGCCATGAGCCTTGGAAGTGGGTTTTTGGGGGCAGGTAAGGTAAACAAAGCAAAATGGCTCCAGGTGAGAGCCAGAATCCTTAAGAAACAGAGATTCTGAGAAAAAAATACCACTTCCAGATTAGAAAGATAGTGACCCTCTCATGGGGCCACATCTGGGAGGGGAAGTCTCTGGAATTCACCTGGTGGCCAAGTCTAGACCCATGTGGCTGAGCCTGACATGAACGCATGGGGCTGCTGCTGCCTTGTGTGTCCAGCAGCTGAAATGCTGAATGTAAGTCAGGTTCAGTGCTGGCTATCTCAGGCTACACATTCGGTTTTGGGGATGCGAAACATCAGCTCTCTGGTGGCACAGGACTCAGGATTAATGCAGGAGGAAGCTGGATACCATCCAGACAGTTTGGCTCTCCTCAACACACGGTACAGGCTCTTGAACCAAACTGTGGGGTAGGGGCTGGACTCCTGTGGTACAAACACTTTAAAGGGATGTTCACAGCCTTAACGCTCAGCTCTGATCTTTGTGTGTTGCTGCTTCTCATCCGTGTGTCAGTGCCGTGTACCTGGCTCCGGTGTGAACACTGCTGAGCTCCTAAACTGCCAAACCGCTGGGTTACAATATGTAGCTCCCAGTTTGGCCTGATCAGAAGCTTCTCCATAAACGTCCACCTCATGTGAAATGTCCTGGTCTCTCCACTGACCCAGTCACTATCGTTGCTTTCCTCCATGTTTATTGTTACCGGTCTGTGAGGGGCCGGCGCCAAATGAAGACGACGGGCCGTATGTGCAGAGGAGGAGACATTAAAACAACCACATGGATTCTGATCTGACCTTTCTGACGGTGCTCGCACAGTCAGAGGCCGGAGAGGAATCGGGTCTAGGAGCACATACGCAGGTGGCCCAGATCTGGTCTGAGGACACCGGGTCTGTTCACACTGCTGTGGGCACACCAGGTCTGAGGCACTGCGCACTGGGAGGGAAATGCATTAGGTCTGAGTCACTTTGGCAGGTAACGTGAACATAGCTTTAGAGACTGAGCTAGGCTCGCCCTCCACAGAAGAGGCAGAGCTAGAAGACTTGCCCACTAGGCAGGGAAAAAGAAGTGGTAAATGAAATTCATTTTGAGGCACTAAACTCCAGACAATGTTGGGCTGTCTTGTTTGACTCTTTGGTGTCTCCATTGCCTGGTACCGGTTCAACTCTACTCACTCAACTTTACTGCTTTGTTTTCCACTGCATATATGACCAAACACTGATACCTGACAACAATTATTCTTTTACAAATAACTGTTATAATCTGAGCGTGATTGACATGAGTTTGTCTTTCTGACAGGACACAATCACCCTGAGATCCATCTGCTGTCTCAAACAGTGATCACCAGTATGAGTCAAGCTGAACTGGGTTTTATCAGGCTTACATCAGACACTGATCGTCCCAGTTCATGAGCAATCTTTTCCCATCGACCTTGAGTTCCTCCTGGAAATTTAACCATCAACCTGCTCAGGAGGCTGAGCTCGTCCTCCGTCCAGTCTGAAGCCTGAGGACACAGATTACAAAGATATCATCCAGGTGTCCTTCACACCTGCAGTTCACTACAGTCCAGGCTCTATGTTAGGACATTTATTGAAATCACAGAGTTTGTTCTGCCTCTACTCTCCGAAGTACAAACTGAAGTATACCAAAGTACGAACTCATCAGCTTAATTACTGATCAATAATATCAGGGCACAACACTTACATTTATTTTTAGCAGCACTCAGGCAACTAAATGAAAAAATTTACAGCCGACAATTTAGGAGCATAGTTATTTAGAAAAATGACAATGCTGCTGCTTCAGTATTTAACAATGACAAAAGTACAAGCACATGATCAGCAAACGTAGCAGAGCAGGGTTAGGGTTACTAACCATGAAGTGACCATGGTTAGTAGGAGACAGGCATGAGGGAAATGGGGCCACACTGAGCCATAGTGGACTGTGCAGACCACAGTTAGCTATTAGCCTAACACCCTCACTATGCTAACACATATCAGCAGTGGATGATTGACTGTGGGCAAAGCTAAAATGATCACTTCTCTGTAAAGTTTATGCTCCGTTAGCCACTGGTTTTATAAATTACTGTGCATTTATTTGTGTCGAGCCCTGTACATCATACCTTCTTCTTGGCAGCCTTGCGGTCCTGCAGCCAGTTGTCCATCTGGTCTTCGATCTCCTCGATGGACGTGGTCTGGTCATAGCTCTGATAATTCAGGATCTCTGAAGATGGCTCATAAACTGGAAATTCCACCTTTGGCTTCTTGAACTTTGGGCGCTTCTCTCCTGAGAGAATCAACAGGAAGCAGAAGTAAAATTAAAACTAAACATCAACAAACTCAGAGTGTGGACCAGTGTGAAGGTGATCTCTTGGTGCAATCAGGTGCAGGTGTTACAGTCCCACATTGGTGAAGTGTCAAAAAGAGCAGAAACAATGACACAAATTTGTTTCTTTTACTAAAAAGTTCTCTTTGCAGTGGCCAAGTCTGAAATTTCAGGCAGTCTATGAATGTATCGACAGCAGAGTTCACATAGCTGTTCAATACGTTACCAACTAGAATTACTGCTTTGCAGTAAAAAACTAAAGTGAATAATAATAGTTGGTAATTGATGATCAATTCTTATGTTCACAATCTGTGAGTTAACTTTAAACAAACAAGAAAAATGTAAAAAAAAAAAAAAAAAGTATTTACTGGTCATAGCTTCCTGTTCAGCTTTACCATCTTCTTGCTGCTGCTGCTGCTGCTGCTGCTTCATCTGCTGGTAGTCCTCATAGTACTGCTTCACCTCCTGAAACACAGAACAGGACTGAGAACAGGCCTAATCCAAGACCACTTCACTTCCTTAAAACACAGAGAGACCAGGACTATCTATAAACCAAACTTGATCATAATCAACCATAGTTGAATGGCATATTTGCTGTCGTGTGACAGTTGGGGTGGGAAACTCCATAAACCGAAGCTTGACAGACAGCTTGGGGAAGAGGTTTAGTTTGCATTCCTCCACTAATTGTTAATCTAGTTGAAAGCTGGGTATTCCAAAGAGGACCCAAACAAAAGGATACAGCAACTGGATTGAAAAATATATTCACAACACTGAAGGTACAGTGGGGCAAATAAGTATTTGATACACCGCTGAAGTTTTCGCACTTACAAAGAATGGACAGTTCTGTAATTTTCATCGTAGGTACACCTCAACTGTGAGAGACAGAATCTACAAAAAAAATTCCAGTAAATCACATTGTTAAATTTTTAAATAATTTATTTCCCTTTTATTGCATGAAATAAGTATTTGATCACCTACCAACCAGCAAGAATTCTGGCTCTCACAGACCTGTTAGTTTGTCTTTAAGAAGCCCTCCTATCCTCCACTCATTGCCTGTATTAATTGCACCTGTTTGAACTCGTTACCTGTATAAAAGACACCTGTCCACACACTCAATCTATCAGACTCCAACTTCTCCACTATGGGCAAGACCAAAGAGCTGTCTAAGGACACTAGGGACAAAATTGTAGACCTGCACAAGGCTGGGATGGGCTACAGGACAATAGGCAAACAGCTTGGTGAGAAGGCAACAACTGTTGGGTGGATCTATAAGAAGCATTCCAAGGTCGGGGTGTGGTTTAGCCAGTCTCCAGACCTGAACCCAATAGAAAATCTATGGAGGGAGCTGAAACTCTGTGTTGCCCATCAACAGCCCCAAAACCTGAAAGATCTGGAGAAGACCTGTATGGAAGAGTGGGCCAAAATCCCTGCTGCAGTGTGTGCAAACCTGGTCAAGAACTACAGGAAACATCTGACCTCTGTAATTGTAAACAAAGGTTTCGGTACCAAATATTAAGTTCTATTTTTTTTAATTGTATCAAATACTTATTTCATTCAATAAAATGGAAATAAATTATTTAAAAATCTAACAATGTGATTTTCTGGAATTTTTTTTTTTTGTAGATTCTGTCTCTCACAGTTGAGGTGTACCTATGATGAAAATTACAGAACTGTCCATTCTTTGTAAGTGGGGAAAACTTGAAAAATCGGCGATGTATCAAATACTTATTTGCCTCACTGTAAGAGAAGGCCTACGTTAGTATATGTCCAAAAGTGTTGCTGGTTAACTTAGCTAGCTCACAGGTAGACCTTAGCTATATAACTCTCTCCCTGGTAGAAATGAGATAGTTGAGTTAGTAAATGTGTTTTACACATGTAATTAAGTTTATGTTCACTAATCAACTGTGATAAATGCATTTGTTGCAGTCAAGGTTACTGATGATGGCAGTGATGTTACCATAGTCAGGGCAAAGGCATATGCGTAAGAATGAGCTCCCTTACAAAGTACAGGTAAAAAGTCACATAATGTTACCGACAAAACCAGAACATTTCTGAGGCTGGGTGAAGAGACAGTAAGACAGCTGTGATATTACATTATGAGCTTGATTATATCCTGTGTGATTTACTTATAGCCTTAAATAAGCATGTCCAAGACGTGTGCTGATATTTCAGAATTACTTAACACCTTTCCTATCATATTGTGTAACACTAACATTGGAATGTTACCTAGGATGTGGTTTAATGCTAACATTAGCTGTTTTCTAATGATGGCTTTAGCTGATTGGTTATCAAATATGTTGTTTTACCTTAAAATTTTACCCAATGGGTTAGCGCTGTCACCTCACAGCAAGAAGGTTCCAGGTTCAAGTCAAGTCTACATGTTCTCCCTGTGCCTGCCTGGGTTCTCCAGGTTCTCCAGCTTCCTCCCACAGTCCAAAGACATGCAGCTTAGGTTGACTGGCAACAATAAATTGCCCATAAGAGTGAGTCTGAATGCGTGTGGTTGTCTCTCTACATGTCAGCCCTGTGATAAATTGGCTCCCACCTCTCACCCAATGTCAGATGGGATTGGCTCAAGCCCGCCCCCATGACCCTACTAAGGAAAAAGCAGTATAGATAACGGATGGATGGATGTTGCCCAGTGTCCCACCGAATTCTCATTGTTCACTGCCTTGGTTGGTGATCCTTGGGAAAGTGGTGAAATGATAATGCTTTGTCAGATTCCCTATGTTTTTACAACTTACAACCTGGAACACAGCAGTAAGACATTATCCTTTTCATAAACTTCCCACCCTGATTACCATGTGACAACAAATATGGTCACCATGTGAATATGGTCCATGGTTTCTCCTGATACCTGGATGGTCTGAGGCAGGTTTTTTACAGACAGGTAAAGCCAGATGCTGAGCTTCAGAGGGAGGATGTCCTGCCAGTGAGGTCGTTCCTGAACTCTGAAACAAGCAAACAATAAAAAACACAAACAAAGCAACATACATGAAATCCAGTGAATATGTCATAGTGTTACCTGTCAGTCCGGTCCTGGCTAATACACCTGAGCTCCTCAGCAGGTTTGGAGCTCAGCTTCTTCTTCTTCTCTTTCTTCTTCTTACTTAGCAGCTCGTCCTGAAGACACAGAGCACTGATCATCAGGTCACATTACATGTTTTCTTCTGATTGGCTGTTTGTGTCTGCTGTGTTCTGACTAGCTGTCTCACCAGCTGTTTCTCCAGGTAAATGGACCAGATGACGGCATAGTGTCCCACAGTGAGGATGAGGAAGAGGAGAAAGCCCAGCTCAGCATTACTCATCTTCCTCACTCGTCTGTAGTAGAAGACCGGCTGCCTCCAATCAGGAAGCCCATTCACAAGAATGTCATCGTACCTGCAAAGACAGTCTATTTCATATATTACTCATTAAGACACAGTCAGAATCGGTCAGCTTTATTGGCAAAGTATGTCGAACACACAAGGAGTCCAACTCCGGTATAGTGGTTCTCAATGTGCTTCCGTAAGACAAGAAAAAAGTGCATTTAAATAAGAAAAAAAGATCTGTGCAAAGGATGGCCTTTTTAAAAAACAAAAGATCAGAAAGGCTCCAAGCCCAGACAGTGTGACCCCCTCCTGCCTGAAAGCCTGTGCAGACCAGTTGGCCCCCATCTTCAAACTTATCTTCAACAGGTCACTGGAGCTGTGTGATGTCTCCTTCTGCTTCAAATGCTCCACCATCACCCCAGTCCCCAATAAAACCTCCATCAGTGGACTGGACGACTACAGACCTGTCGCTCTGACATCTGTAGTCATGAAGTCCTTTGAGAGACTGGTGCTGGGCCACCTGAAGGACATTGTAGACCCCCTGCTGGACCCTCTGTAGTTCGCCTACCGGGCAAACAGTGGATGATGCAGTCAACATGGCACTGCATTACATCCTGCAACACGTCAACTCCCCAGGGATCTATGCAGGGGCCCTCTTTGTGGACTTCAGCTCAGTATTCAACACCATCATCCCAGACATCCTCCACTCCAAACTGACCCAGCTCACTGTGCCTGCCAATGGATCACCAGCTTTCTGACAGACAGGAAGCAGCAGGTGCAGCTGGGGAAAACCACATCCAGCACATGGACTATCAGCACAGGCGCCCCCCTCTGTTCTCCCTCTATACCAACAACTGCACCTCAGAGGACCCCTCTTTTAAACTCCTAAAGTTTGCAGATAACACAACGGTCATCGTTCTCATCTGAGACGGTGACCAGTCAGCCTACAGACGGGAGGTTGAGCAGCTGGTCCTGTGGTGTGGTTGCAACAGCCTGGAGCTGAACATGTTCAAAACAGTGGAGATGACATTAGACTTCAGGAAGAACCCCCCCACATCATATGTGGCAGCACTGTATCAGCAGTAAAGTCCTACAAGTTCCTGGGCTTCACTATCCGTTCTCATCTGAGACGGTGACCAGTCAGCCTACAGACGGGAGGTTGAGCAGCTGGTCCTGTGGTGTGGTTGCAACAGCCTGGAGCTGAACATGTTCAAAACAGTGGAGATGACATTAGACTTCAGGAAGAACCCCCCCACATCATATGTGGCAGCACTGTATCAGCAGTAAAGTCCTACAAGTTCCTGGGCTTCACTATCTCCCAAGTCCTGAAGTGGACGTCCAATATCAGGACCATCATCAAGAAGGCACAGCAGAGGATGTACTTCCTGCGCCAGCTCAGGAAGTTCGACCTGCCTCAGGAGCTGCTGATACAGTTCTACAGAGGAATCATCGAGTCTGTTCTCTGCATCTCCATCACTGTCTGGTTTGGCTCAGCAACCAAGCAGGACAAGTACAGACTTCAGCGGACAGCCAGGACTGCAGAAAGAACCATTCGTGCCAGCCTGCCCTCCATGGAGGACCTGTACACCTCACGGGTCAGAAGGAGGGCAGAGATTTCTGCAAACCCCTCACACCCTGGACACAATCTGTTTGAACTCCTCCCCTCGGGACGGTGTTACAGGTCACTATACACCAAGCCAACCAGGCAAAAGAACAGTTTCTTTCCCCAGGCCGTCACTCTGATGGAAAGTTAATCCATGACTGTAACAGAACGACAGCCCTCAGTGAAATACCTTGTAAATATGCTTTTGTATAAATGTATCTTGAAAACTTTATTTTTATTTTCCTAATGCACATTCGTTCTTCTTCTTTACAAATTCTTTTCTTTTTTTATTTGTTCTCTCAGCCTTATCTCATTTACTTGTCTATTTGTTGCTTTACAGAAGAGCACTGTGCATACATACATACATAGAAATGGAGCCTTATCTGACAGAAATGCAGGGGCGCACATATACACACACACACACACACACACACACACACACACAGTCATGGTAAAAATAAAGTAGACCCTCTTTGAATTTTATGTTGAAATTATTTAATGATGTCCTGTGTTGTATTTGTATTGTGTACTGTGATGCAATCAGGTGAGACTCACCTGCGCCGTCTCTCCTCGTCCTTCAGGACCTCATAAATGGCAACGAGCTGCAAACAGATCAACAAACCGAATCACTGAGGAGGTTTAACTATCACTGAACCGGAGCTGTTTGTTTCTGCATTTATTTTCTAACCTGTCGGAACTGAGTTTCAGCATTTTCGTCTTTGTTCTTGTCAGGATGCAGAGTGAGAGACAGACGACGATATGCCTTCTTTATCTCTGCTGCTGAGGCGTCCTGAAAACAGACAGGTGAGGATGTATTAACCAGACTAATAGAGTTAATTCCAACATATTTAAATCACTTGTCAAACTGCTTCTCTGGGTTTATGTCACCTCTGACAGAAAACTGAGTTTTCTACAACAAAGCTGTGGACTGTGACAGATTATAACAAAGCCTTTTGTCATTTTACAAAAATGACATTAAAATTGTTGTATAAAGAAAGCTTTAAGCCTCTGGGAGGAACCAGAGAAACATCTACAGCAAACAAAACCTGATCAAGGCCCTGAAGGATAATCACCTTTATTGGCCAAGTATGTTACACACAAGGAATTTGTTTCCGGTATAGAACCTCAACCAATGGCTCTAGCATCAGGGGTTGGTGGTTCAGTGTCTTGCCCAAGGACATTTCAACACATGGACTGGAGGCACTGAGATTTGAACCTTCAACCTTTGGGTTAGTAGACAACCGCTCTACCACCATACCACTGCCACCTCCTGAAGTAGTCATCCAACATCAGCGCCATCACCAAGAATGCACAGCAGAGGATGAACTGCCTGTACCAGCTAAATCTTAATGCAGCTTTAAATGCATAGACATTTTATCTAGACAGCAGGCCCCACATCAGTTTTCAGATTTCTCAGTTTTCCTGATGTTCAGTTCAGGGACCAGAAGTTTCATCTTGTTTGATGTGAATTTTGAAGTCTGCCTTAGATCATGGTCCTGGTGTAGACATTTAGAGAACTGACCACAGAACATCTGATCCAGAATCTGCTGATATTTAATGGACTACTTTCTTCCGTCTGTGCTTTCTGGGCCACACAGCCTCAAACCAGAATATCTACAACTTAGTGCTGAACAGCTGGTGATGTGGGTGAGAGAGAGAGGGTTTAAGACGTAAAATGTTTTCAACTAAAAGGAGAATTGATGTTTGTTTTTGTTTTACCTGCAGCAGGTGAACTTCTGAAATACAACAGCAGTTAGCACCAGCTGTTAGCATGAGCGGGTAACCTCAGTCCGCTACTCACAACCGTAACTGGACCAGCTTAACCCACCAGTTTAACTGGATCAAGACAGTTTAATTAACCAGTCAGACAGAACCGGAGTCATTGGTCTGGCTCTGGTTTCTACATTAACGTTAGCTCCGAATGCTAACTAGCTTAGCCCCGATGCGTGTGTGCGTGGCATTGAGCTGTTAAGTATTAGCACCTAGCTAGCAGCTTCTATTCAGTTACCATGGAGACAGTAGCCGTTGGCACGAACCTGATCAAGGGACAGGAACTGGTAGAAAGTCTGCGGGATCTCCTCCACCAGGTCCAACAGCTCCAGATCCGCGTCCCAGGCGATCAGAGGGGGGACCACGGAGACCAGCAGTGTCAGACATACCAGCAGGCGCCCGGACGGACACGCACAAACCCCCATCACAAAAAAAGCGTTAGAGCTAAACGAAATGACGGCCACAGACACCGGACCACTGCTCGGTCTGTGAGCCACCTCAAGCATCCCCGACCCGAGAAAATAGCGCTACGTCCGGATTAGACATCGCTGTCAAAATAAAAGTCCCTAACCCCCTAAAGAACTTAACAATGTGGAAGTCAAAATGATTGCAGCGACACCGGCAGGAGGAGCGGGGAACTACACAGTGAGAGAGCAGAGGAAGAGAATATAAATAAAAGAAAATTTGTTCGTTTGGATTCTGGCCAGTTACAAAACCTCTATAGCCTAATAACAGTGTTGGGGAATATATAGCTATTGTAATTAAATGACAAAATAAATGTAATTGCAACCAATTACAGTTACTGACAAAAATGTGTAATTGAAAAAGAATAAACCAGATAGAATAACTTTATTGTCATTGCATAGCAGTACAATGAAATTACAGGTGTAGCTTCCAGTCAGGTACGTAGTCTTCATTGATGGTTTGAGTTTTATTTTGGATGTCAATAGTCTAATTTCACAAACCAACATAAGAGCTTGTTGCCAGCGCTGACTGGAGCTAAACAGTAAATTAAAAGTCCCTTTCCGCAGTCCGTGTTGTCCTTATGTGCCGCACTTTTCTACCGCCGTTTTTTCCCTTTTCTTCCATTCTTGTCCTTTCAAAATAAAACTTCCGTGCAGGAAATGACACGAAAGTCCTAAAACAATACGTTGCGCAAATAATCAGAAAAACATTCCTATACTTACCACAGCTTAAACAAAAAAAATTGTCTTTTACAACAGGTACTAACCAAAATGTTGGCGATTACAAAGGGGTTACATCTGCGTATATTCTTTTCAGTATAAAGCTTATAACCGAACCTTACAGAGATGTAACAGTCGTGCACGACCTCTGTCCGGTACAGGGAACAAAGGAGGTTGGACCTCCTGAGAGTCTGATAGTGGATATAAATAGAGGGAAATATGGTGATGAAAGTTTACACTGTCTGAATGAATGGACAAAAGAGTTTGATTTTCTACGCGGGGATCACTAAGTACGCAAAAAAACTGAAAATCTAGAAAAAAACAGAATAAGTTAAAGAAAATGAAAGATTTCAACACAAGACTTACTTGTCAGGTTTTAGACACTGACACTGTCACGGATTCACACTTTTCTCACTTGGCTGTTCGTTCCTTGTCACGTGACGGCATCCGTGTTTGTTGTTTTTTCAGAAAAATCAGTTTCTGATGTGATATGAAGGCAGCTTTCAGCTAAAGTTAGCTTGCTTAAATAATAACATTAAATAACATGTCAATGACGTAAGCGTCTCCATTGTGATAACATTAAATAATTTTAAAAATGACATGAAGATGGAAACATGTTGACAGTTGTTTTATTAACAACTGATGATGTCAATCCGCTCGGTTACAGCTTCACACCTGCAGCACAGGTAACTGAGTGTGGTGATTTGCTATCTTCGTTATAGGTTGTATTTGAACCAATCAGGGCCGCATATCAATCTGAAGCTTCTTCCAGAGCTTTCAACCACATCACGTGGTCTTCAAGCTCTAGAAAAAACAGTAAGGGCAGGACAGGACAGATGTGAGCTGTGATTGACTGTCTTCATTCAAGTCGCTGTGTTCAATCTGGTTTCATGTTTATGGGGGTCGATGCAGTCGTGACACAAAGGAAGTCCACCAGGAAATCATCATCGGCCCTTCTTCATCTTGGCCACCTTCTCTTTCCTCTTCTTCACATGTTTCGGGACTTTCGTCCTTCTTTTCTCTCTCTGAGCTTCTTTCACCATCTTCTTTCTCTCCTGAAAGAAAATCATTTTCAATTTCAGAAACAAACCTCAGGACCTTTTCATTGTGTCTCAGATTTCATGATGTAAATTTATACTGCATACAAAAATAAGACAAATTCCACACACTGATCATTACTTGTACTCGCTTTAAGATCGGCGTTTCAGTCCGTACTATTTATCTATCTATAGACCAAAGACTCTGACCCAGGAAAAAACCTTCCAGTCAGAGGACAAGGATATGAGGATGTAAATTTATAAAAACCTTTTTCTCTATCTGGGTTTCCTCACTCTGCTCCTGCTGATCATCTTCTTCATCATCACTGCCCTCCTCCTCTGATGAAGAGTGCTCATCCTCCAGGAGAGCAGGAACCTGGGGAGACAAGGATAAGTGAAGCTATGCTAAGCTAACTGTAGAAGCAGAAAGTGTGAAGAAATCATACCGTCTGAACTCCGGACAGATCCTTTTTCAGTCCGGTCAGCGTCTGATACAGCACCTGAACAGAAGAAATCACCATTATTTATGGTTTTACTCATCTCTGCCATGACATGCATTTCTGTGACAAACCCCAGACCAGAGTCACAATAAAACACACAATAACAATGGCTGAACTGTTTAAATCCACAGGATTTCAGGCATTTAAAAACAGGAGCCAAGATCTGCTCATCCTGTCTGCCCCTCTATAAGACATGCTGGCGCTGCTGTCTCCCTCTCTCTACGCTCTGGGGGATATTTACTAAGGATCTGCAGTTCCTTTTCTGGTGCTAAACAGTGAAACTGTATGTGTTCTTATTGACTAAGGAGTCACAGTGGGGGTTTGTGGTGGAAGAACAAGAGATGCAGCAATGCAGGAATTTGTGTGTTTGGCCTCATGCGTGTATTTTAAGGTGTTCCCGGTTCAGGGACGCAAAAATCAGGGAGGAGAGAATGGAAATTTATACATATACTCTCAGCACCTGATTTACCATGGCTGTGACAGAGGAAACTGTGGCTGAAATGCAACGTCAGGAGAAAGCAGTACGATGTGCAGTGCTGCAGTCAGCTGTCAGTCTTCTTAGATCTCAGTGGAGTTACCAACACGTCTGACAAAAAAAGAGGGCATTTGTAAATCGCACCGCTCGGCAGAGGAGAGCGCGAGGGACTTGTACAGGCTTTCAGATCCAACCAGAGTTACTGAACAAAATAAAAGTTGATTTGACTGGCAGGAGACTGAATGACTACAGCCCTGAAATAAGAAATATGTTTGATTTCTTCAACCATATTAAAGTCACTTAGACTTTCTCCTGCGCTTCCTCTCGGCCCACACGTGCAGCTGTGGTCATTTACATCATTAGTGTTGGTAAATACACCACAAAACTGAAAAACTGCCACATTGTTTTGTGCAGCTGTTGGTGATTAGCAACAGGTTTAGTAAATATGCCCCTATGTCTCTAATGGTGTCTGTTGTCTTACGTTGTCATCATGTCCGCTGATGGCCGACTCTTCCTCCTTTGTCCTCATCAGGTCAATGTCTCGCTCGTAATGACTCACCTCCGTCAGAGTGCGGGGGATGTAGGCCTTCTTAAACACCTGGCAGGGGAACACAGAGATGTCAAAGGTCAGAGTCCCTCACAGACAGGTGTTTATTATTGTAAACACCATGTTTGTTTTCTTTTTCATCACCTCCTCATCCACTCGGTCCTGATCCGACCGCTCCTCTGACGTGCGCTCAGCTGCGATCACCATTGCCTGGATGACCAATCACAGAAACACAAACAAGCAAATAAACACATGAACAGTCTTTTTAGTGCATTATCTTGTTTATCCCCATTTCTCATCAGTTTTTTTATGTCTTGTTTGTGAGGCAGCTTTGGTAAATAACACTGTGTTACATACAGGAAGTGTTCACACCTTCTCCAGGTACTGATCGATGTTGTGGCAGGTGATTGATGGGTCAGTGATGAAGTCAAATAGCTCTCTGGCAGTCATCACCGCCACACCGTGCTTCACAAAGAACTCTTGGAGATAAAGGCACAGATTTGATCTGGACATGCAGAATTTCATTCAAACAAGAAGGGTTCATCTTAGAGAAACAGCATCAACACCAACACAGCAGAAACAGCAGAATCTTACGATTGACATTGCTGCAGTCCTTCCTGAGGAACTCGAGAGCACGAGGGTGGTCGTGCTCCACCGACTGTGACACGTCAATGATGTAAGCGTCTCCGTTGTGATACCTGCAGGCAGGTGAGAAAAACTGACTGGTGGTCTTTAATGGCAGAGAAGACCTTCAGATTTTCCTTTCCTGAGTTGTTTTTGACATTAAAGTAGCCATCCAACATGTTGGAGTCAGCTGGGTTTATTTAACAGAATCAAACCAACAACCTCACTGAGAGTCCAGGACTTCAGAGACACTAGGCCCTTTACACTGCCCATTCAATGCGTTTTCTGCCCTACCGTTCTGTCCTGGAGGGTCGACGTTACCTCCAAAATGCCACAATGAGAGTTAGTATTTTGCTAAGACGAGTTCACCCAATCTCCTATATAAACAGAACAAGGCAAAATAGGGGGTCTGAGGTCTGTATGTGAGAGAGAGCTAGAGAGTGAATGAGGAGAGAGCGCAGTGTCATTGAGGACAATATGAATCACAGAAATGAAACTATATTGTGTGATTGTTTCACTGTGGTTACATTCTAAAGCAGGAATAAACACAGCCACCCCTCAGCGCAGCCCCGTGAGGACTTTGTGTGAATGCAGCTGTCTGTTCTGCCCTCAGACAGACACAGACCTGAAACCAGATGAATGGAGTAGGCTACTGTAATTCCCACTTCCCATTTATAAATACATCAAACAAAATCCGATAATGATGTGTTTGTTCATCTTCAAATCGGCCACAAAGTACATGGACGTCACAAGAAGTATCACACCACTAATACCAGGATTCCAGCAGCTGCGTAAAAGGGACACATGCCCGCAGTTTTCCAGCTGAACTTAATCAAAAAAGCCGCCTTGAAGGAGGGTCAAACTTTCCACAATCTCCTGGTAAATGGTGCTACTGCCTGAAGCTGCTGTATCTCCTTAATAAACAACATGCAAGTAAATTAGACAGACCTGGGGCTGTTGAAAGGCAGATTTTTTTTTTTTACTCTTTTAATGGAACAGTTTCCCCTAAGCTAAGCTGGGCTAAATCTGTCCTGGACTCGTTCTGTACTGGACTTGCAAAAATAAAAAAGGTCCATCTGACACACCTGACTGACAGAGAACCAGAGCTGTTTAGACATTAATTTTAAAGAACCGTGTTAAGATTCAGAAGAAGTTTTACTTTGAAGGGTTTCTATCTATAGTGGTCGTCGTCTCTTACAGCATGTTGAACTCGCTGAGGTCAGCGTGGACAAGTCGAGCATCCTGAAACATTTTCCTCATGTTTTGCAGAACCTGCAGGTAGAGTTCACGAGCCTTCAACTCTGACAATGAAGCGTTCTTCAGCAGAGGAGCCGGCCTGATCGATCAATACAGGCGAGGTGAACAATACAGGAGAGATGATAGTCATAATTAATCTGCACACATCACAGATCACTCTGATCATTGAATGACTGGTTCTTACATATTGTCCTTTCCTATGAAGCTCATCAGCAGAACATGACTTCGAATCGGGTGTGGCCTTGTGATTCCTCCTGTCTGCAGCCTGAGACACACACACACACAAACACGGTCACTTTCTCTATCAGACCAAGGTCTGCTGGGCCGAACTGGGTTCTACCGGGGTTGTTCTATCAGAACAGACTGTTCTATCTCTGTCGGTAACTGACTGCTCCACCTTAAGTACGTGACGGAGCGTTATCACAGGTCCTTCGTTCCAGGCTGTACGACCAACAGTGGGTCTTATTTACCAGCAGCTTTCTAAGTGTTTTCTTAAATCTCTTGGTGGGTTGTTCTTAAGAAAGGTTTCGCCTTGATAAACCGCAGAATTGTTCGCACCTGTGTTCTTACATTGAAGAAACTCGTGTGTTCGTAAGTTGAAAGCTTGTGCCAGTCATTCCTAATTAGCATAGGTTAACGCCCTGCCATGCCCATAAAAAGGCATGAGACTGCAGGGTCGCATGCACACACCTCACACAGAAATGCCAAAGAGAAGCTGAGAAAGCCAGAAACACTGTATAAGGAGAAGGACACAGCCAATGAAATAAAAAGATTTTTGACTTCAATTTTGGCAACAAAACAAACAGAAGAGAGACGCTGACCGGCTGGCCCAGAGTGATCTGAGCTGGACCAGAGCATCAGCGCTGTGCACGGCTCTCGGGTGGGCCGTCGGCTTAGCAGACCTCCATGTTGGCAGCCAGGTCGCTTCAAACACCCTGAGTCTGGTCTCAGATGCTGGACAACCAAACACTGACACACTGGCCACAATATCCGAGAGACACTTAAAGAAATTAACGGAAATTAAAAACAAAGGTCTGCACTTAAACGTGTTTGATTTTTACGTAATGCGGTTCCTAATTCTAACGTACACATACTCACACTGAAAAACACTGGTGAATGCCAGAATCTTGGTGAAAACTTCATAAGTGGGTTTTACGAACAAAGTTGCTCTTGAGAACGATTGGTGAATAAGTTGACGCCCCCCAGCTGACCTCGCACACCACAAAGTGAATAACTGTGAATGCTCAGTATACCCGTGTGCACTATGGAATGAAGCAAGGGTAGGTGGAATGTGCTCACGTTGGCGAGTACTTGTCAGCAAATGGGCTATGGCATTTTGTACCGATTGTAAATGATCTAAAGACATTTGGTTTATACCCATGTAAACAGAGTTACAACAGTCAATACGACTAGAACTAAAAGCATTTACAAGCTTTTCAAAATTAACTGTTTGACTGTCAACAGATGTCTGAGATGAAAGATCTAGCTTTAACAACAGAATTAACCTGTTTATCAAACTTTTAAGTCACAGTTCATACTAACACCCATGTTTTTGACAGTAAGTTTACTAAAAAGATCTAAATGCCCTGAGTCAATATTCTGGGCTCCACAACCTCCTTTCAGTCTTCTTTTCATTAAAATCCAAAAAATTTGAAGCCATCAAATTTTTTATATCTGATAAATACTCAGGCATTTATTTCAGTGGATCGAGAAGACATGACTTACAGTCTTACTTTTTATTATTATAGCAACGCTGTTTATATTGATGACACCTTATCTGTTACATGTGATTCTTAACATTGAGTGCCTTGTTTCTCTCCCTTTGCTCCCATCATGGGATTAAGCTTCATCTTATCAGGTTCCATTGGGCTCTACCAGGGTTGACTGGGCTTGGTCACCAGGAAAATGGTATTTCTCTCCACTGTTATGCAGATGACCAACTGTATTTACCACTGAAACTTTGTCTTGTAGAACCACTAGAATGCTTAGCTCTGAGGACCAGATGCCTCTAGTGGTCCCGAAGGTCCGTCTAAAATCTAGAGATGTACATTGCATGCCTTTTCTTTTGTACCACCTACATTGTGGAATAAGCTTCCTCTCCATATTTATGTGAAATCATCTCTCTGTTTTTAAATGTCAACTTAAAACTTATTTTTATTCCATTGCTTCTTATCAATGTTAAGGGTTTTTTTGGTCTGGTTCAAACCACTTGTACTTTCTGTTTTCTAGTCCTGGATCACAATGCTGTGTCTTTTCATCTGTCTTTCTATAAAGCACTTTGACCAACTTCTTGTTGATTTTAATTGTGCTATATAAATAAACTTGACTTGTTCCATCAAATCAGGTTCCACTGGGTTCTACTGTAGTTCATCTATCAAATCAGGCTCTGTAGGGGTCTACTGGTTTCTACTTGGGTTGTTCCATCAACTCATGTTCTGCTGGGTTCTGATGGGTTTGCTCTATCAAATCAGGTTCCACTAGGTTCTACTGGGGTTGTTCTATCAGATCTGATTCTACAGAGTTCTGTGTGTAAATAAAAGGCTCTGACCTGATAAGGTTCCTCATCTCCTTTTCTGCCCAGGTTCTCACCATCTTCCTGGGGTTTCCTTTACAGTAACCATGACGGAACCTGCAGAATAAGGAGAACAGTGACTGAAACTAAAAACACAGTGCCTTAATCAGTCTGCATTCTCTTCTATTCTTGTGTTCTTGTAGACTAGTGAAACATCAGACACAGCCCAGAATGTTTCAATTCAAAATCTGCATCCAGCCAAGTACAGGTTCAATAAGATGGCACTCAAAGAACGCAAGCTCCACCAAGGGGCAACTCTGTTTTCTCATGATGCCATAAGAGCAACATTCCCATGAAAGTCTGACCCTCATAATATGGCTGCTTGACCATAAAAACCTGCTTCTGGCATTTGGAATGACACCGACATGATTATTAGTTTAAAAGATATTCAAGAAAAACGACAGACGTTCACTTGTTGGTTTAGGGGTAAAACGGGGACTTCAGTGAGTGGACTGCAGACAAAGAGGTGATGACATCATATGGCTATAATGTGCAGCTGGAACAGCAGCGTCCTCGCCAACAGACTGCTGGGCTCTGAACTAGAAATAGCTGCCTGCTAACACAGCTAGCTTGGTCAGATAAGGAGCACTCATATAACCGAACACATCAGAACAAATTCTGAATTGCCATTACCTGGATAGACTGACCATATGTTCTCAGTCTAAGTGGTTACTGTGTCACCTGAAAGTGTGTCACAACCTAATAAAGTGGTGTAAAACCAGTCTTACAGATGAAAATGAGAACAGCTTTGAGCCTGGCTCCAAATCTCTGCCACCAGGCTCTTGCCCGGCTGTCGCTGCATTGAGCAGATCTCTCCCCAGCTGTGGGCCATGGTCTCGCTGGGCTCCTCCAGTTCCTGTCTCACACAGTGGGGTGGGCTGAGTGACAGCACTCAGTTTACACTGACAATGAATGGGCAGCTGTCACTGACCCAGGGCTTTGTCTCCGGTATGTGCTCAAAGAGAGCAGCAGTGCAGCCATGCACTTTGGCCACAAGGGGGCTCACATACAGTGAAGCAGCCTTTCTAGAACTCACAGTGGGGAAAAAAAATCTGTACAAATATTCCTGTATCCAAATTATGAGACAGATCAGCACCAAAATCTAATTGACTGTTCCGTGGGCTGTACCCTACCTCTCCAACACATTTTATCCAAATATGTTCATTACTTTTTGATTTTACTTGTTAAAAATCAATCAAATGCCAGCAAAAACATAACCCCCACCCTTGGCAGATGTAATAACCAGAAGTGTTTTTACTCGTCCATTTTATCAAGGATGCTTTGGGAGCTGACTTGTGTGAACTCGGGGCAGCCAAGTATCCCAGAACACACTGCATGCAAGCTAGCAGTGACGGCAGAGATTTAGAACCAGGTTCAAGGACTGTTATGTCGCTTTTGAGTTTTTCCAGTCAATAAAGTAACTATTTAGATGTAGAAGATGTGGTCAGTCTATCCAAATAATGCCAAAAAAGAATTCTGCTCTGATGTTTCAGACATGCGAGTACTCACTAGAGCAGACCTGGGCCCGCGGGCCACATCCGGCCCTCTGGCTCTCCCTGAATGGGCACGCATGAAGTCATCAGTAAATTAAAAGTCGGTGTAAATATTTTACAGTAATATGTGCATGCAATACAACTGCACTCATTTTATTTTGAAGGAACTGCTAAATTAGGGTTTTTTCTCATGTGACCTTAGGCACCCTCATTTGAATGTATTGGCTAACGTGTTGGACTGCTTGCTTTAGCTTTTAAAGATGTCAGCTAGTCTGAAAAAAAAGACAAGATTAATTCAGAATGCAGTGTTTTTAAAAAGGTATGGACTTCCAAGTATTTATTTACTGATGTCAAAGGTAAAACTGTGTGCCTAGTTTGTGGAGAACAGATACTGGTGTTTAAGGATCATTATAATTTGAATCGCCATCACGAGACAAAACATGCAGAGAAGTACAAAGACTTGACTGATGTGTAACAGGCACGGATGTCTGATTCTTTGCTAGCTAAACTGCAAATGCAGCAAGGATTTTTTTTTTTTTTTTACCAAAGCTCACACATCAAGGGATGCGGCAGTCAAGACGAGCTTTGTGATATCCCACAAAATTGCCAAAAACAGCAAGCTATTCTCCGATGGGGAGTTTGTCAAAGAATGTTCGGTGGACTCTGCAGCAATAATACGCCTGTAGAAAAAAAGAAGCATTCGTGAATGTGCCCCTTTCCAGGTGAAATGTAACGAGAAGGGTCGATTTGTTCAAGCCTAAAACAGGCTAGACTGCTCTCACTGAACAACAGCAAATAACTGAGGTAAAGCAAACAAACAATGCTGGGTGCATTTATTGCTTTATGTGTGAAGTTAATGTGATGCTGGTCTTTAAAATACTTGATATTTTGTGTAGTTAATGAATGCTCGTTTTGCACATTTTTGAAACTGTTTTTGTGAATGTTCATTAAATAGTGGTATTCTTTTGTCCACATTTCATTGTAATATTTCATTTACAGTTTTTATGAAGAGATACATATTGGGCAGAACTGTAGGTGTATTGGTCTGGCCCTCGACAAGTTTCTCATGTAGCCCCTTGGGAAAATTAATTGCCCACCCCTGCACTAGAGGACCACACTAGCTCCAAAATGCAGGCAGCTACATCTCGTACAGAGCAGAGTACAACCTGTCAAAAAGGACACTGGTGTCCCAATTGCACACTGGGCATACCGTCTCCTCACTTCCTCAGAAGTTTGGCCCCCAAGTCCCTAACTTCTCAATTCAGACACCCAAGTAGTCTAAACTTGACATACTTTGTACTGAGAAATGCCTACAGTCTCCCTGAACTCTTCCTCTGTGGTGGGACTGACCTGAACTCTCCACTGACGTATTTGTCCCGGTCTTTGAACAGCAGGATGGAGGTCTTGTAGATCTTGATGGCCCTGCCGTCTCCTGCTGAGGTGCTGGCATAATAAACATTCGCCTGAAAAACATGAGACCAGTTCATCCAGGCCCTGTCCGTGAATCTCATACCAGTTCCTTCCATCTGACAGGAGCAAGATTACTTTGTATGTTTATGGTTCTATGACTTCAAACATTACTCCACATGTTACTCTGTACGTTACAATGATTTCATATGCTACTGTTACTATGTATGTTACTCTAAGACTCTGGATGAAGGTTTTTCTGTGTCATGATTTGAGTCACTGTGTAATGTACTCTGATGCAGAGGTTACCTTTGTGGACTGCAGTAACTTTTTATCGTCACCACATTGTGACAATAATGTTAGCTTATTGTTGGAATGAAAAGCTGTTTTTCACTACTAATGTTAGCAAGCTAGGCTAACTACCTGTTACTTCTTGAGTAAAATACAAACTGAAGAGCACTGTGGTTTCTAGGCAACACTGTATTTGTACAGTGAAATGTAGAGCTCATCTGTCAGTCAACTGTTGCCATGGAAACTACCCAGTGATGTTCAAAAACTGAGGTTTCTTCCTTAAAACACAAACAGCTGCTGCGTCATAAACGTTTGTTTCTGACAGAAAGTAAAGAAAATCAGGAACTGTTTAAACAAATGAATCACTGGCACAAAGAAAACAGAAGGTCTGCCTACCAAACTCCACAAACAAGCTTCTCTTAGTTTTTCCATCATGCAAGTATCAGCACAGAGGGAGAAAACCCACAAACGCTTCAGTTCTACCTTCTTCAGTGTGCAACAGTCTTTCAGTCCAACTTAAGTGTGTTGGTATAGGAAAAGTGGCAGCAGCACACAGAGGCAGTAACCTGAAAAATCGTCTGTGCAGATTCCCAGTCATCCAGGTCATAGTAAGCTGAAAAAAATCAACTGGACTTAGTTTTAGGTATAGTTTTCACCTCTCATCCGAGAGGCTTCATCACTGGTACCGCTCCCAGCCACTGGTTCCGCTATGTGGATGACACATGGGTTAAAATCAGGACCCAGGAGGTAGAGGCTTTCACCAAGCATATCAACTCTGTGGATATCAACATCAAGTTCACTCGTGAGGATGCCAAAGATGGCCTTTTTGGACTGTGCGGTAGGATGTTGACAGAAGCCTGAAGGTAGAAGTATATCGGAACCCTACACACACAGACCAGTACCTGCTTTTTGACTCACACCATCCACTTCAACACAAACTGGGAGTCATCAGAACTTTAAATCACAGGGCAGAGGAAGTGCCCACAACTGCAGAAGGGACCAAGAAGGAGAAACTACACATCCAGAACTCCCTTAGGGCTTGTGGATACCCCAAGAGGGCCTTCACCAAAGCAAGGAAGAGGCCCAACACCAACAGGGAGAAACAAGAGGGGATAACACTGTCATCCCTTATGTGGCTGGTTTATCAGAAGTTAAAAAAGATCTTTCGCAAAGACTGGTCCACTGGACAAAACACCCAGACATAAACAGAGTGATATGGTGTATGCAATTAAGTGTAGTCAGGAGTGTAACGACTTGTACATTGGTGAAACTAAACAGCCGCTACCCAGACGCATGGCCCAACACAAGTGGACCAGAGTCAGCAGTCCACCTCCACCTGAAGGACAAAGGACATTCTTTTGAGGACAGTGAAGTCCAGATCCTCTCCAGAGAACATCACTGTTTTGAGAGAGGAGTCAAGGAAGCTATTTTTGTCCAAATAGAACACCCCTCACTAAATAGGGGTGGTGGACTCAGACACAACTTGTCATCCATCTACAACTCTGTTTTGAGATCTCTGCCCAAACATTTCCACCCCAATTCACACCAGGACCATAGGCATCGGTCCACAGGTGAGGGTTCAACAACAGACAACAACTCTCACCGATACTGGGCTATAACGACTTAGTCGTTAGGGGACATTGTTGGCCGTGGAAGGAATGAAACACCACTGATGGAGATAAATATCTCCTGATTACCACCAGTTGGGCAGGACTGATGAAGCCTCTTGGATGAGAGGTGAAACGTCTGCTACCTAAAACCAAGTCCAGTTGATTTTTTTCTATGTCTTTTTCAGCCAACCTGAAAAGTCATTTCTCCCCCTGTGCTTATACATGCTTGATAAAAAAAATTTTTTAATGACTTAGCAGATTTGGGTGTGCAGCCCTTCTGCAGTTGAGCGCAACATTTCTCACCTTTAACAAAATAATCATTTTAAAGTGCAAAGGCCAAATACTGCTTTTGTCATGCAACAGAAAATTAAACACTTGCTTTTGGACAAAACAGAGAAAAAGTGTAAATACCAATTTTCCACATTATAGCCAAAATGATCAACAGAATAACAGAGAAAATAATGTGCCTGTTAATCAATAGTGAACATGATCATTAGTTACAGCTCTGCTGTTCACAGGTGACAGCAGATGTGCCTGATAGCTCTACATATATAAACATCATGAACAGTATTGATCAGTATAAATCAATGTATTGATCAGTGACGTCCGACCTCCTTCCCTGTGCTGATGCAGCCACTGATTTCACAGATCACCCCTCGACTCAGCATCTTAAACAGAATCATTCGAGTCCGAGGATCTAAAACCTGCAGAAGAAGAAACAATCAATAATATCTGCTGGTTATTGATCCTTCGGGTCTTAATCTTTATGCTTCAGCTTCTCTTTGAGTCTTTGATTTTAATCATTTTATTCTGAATTTATCTCATCATCCTCAGACTTCCTGTACAGCCCTTTCTAAATAAAAGAGTTTTCATGTGACACTCACCTGCTCAACTGTAGCTCGATCTGATTTGTCCTTCACTCTGTACCTGAGGAGAGCAGCCAATGATGATATCACTCACATCAGTCACATGATATACACTGAAAACAGCATTCAAATAAAATCTGACATACATGTCAGCATCTTTCTGTTTCTGCATCATTGTCACTTTATTGATCACCGAGTCGGCGTAATTCAGTTTATCTGAAACAGAAACAAAGATCTGATCAGGACAATGGCAACATTTATGAACTTGTATTTATTCATTAAGAGAAGAAAGCTGTTGTTTAACAACATCATAAAATTAATCCAGATGTCTTCAGATACTGTGTGAAGGTCCAGATTTGGTTTTATAGACCGGGTTAGAACTAGGTCTAGAATTACCCAGGTTGATTTTGTGCTCGTATTTCCTGAGAGCTTTATCAGATGGAGTTGATGATGGCAGCATTTTATTTAAGGGACTCTGTCTGTTGGACTGAAAACAAGCAAATGAAATCAGCTAATTAACAAACTAACCTATTAACTGATCTATTAATAATCATTCTGATTTATTAGACTGATCAGACCTGACAGTTCAGAGTCGTCCTGTTAAAAAAACTGCTGAATGCCACGCCCACTCTTCATCATCTTCATCATCATCATCAGCTTCTTCTTCTTCTTCTTCTTCTTCGCTGTCTTCTTCCTGTCGGTGTGATGAAGGCTGCAGAGTGCCATCAGTGATCTGACTCTGTACAGCCAACAGCTCTGACTGATCGCTGCAGACCACAGAAAAATAAACAGAAGATCTGACATGGGGGCTCCCAGATCCACAGTCACCTTCATAAATCAGGTGAACTTAGACCTGAAGCCTCATTTATAAAACTGAGCATGTATCCATACTAAAAGTTTACATGTACAAAAAACACAAAAATGGCGTATGCAGATTTTTAAGACTGTGTGGATCACTCTACTTCCTGAGCCACAGCTGCCCCAACCTATAAGTAGGCTGACATACAATTGTTCTGTTATTAATCATTAATATTTGCAAAATAATCCTAGTAGGACAATAAAGGAGGATAGAAAGGTACTCAGCATGTTGTCTTACCATATTTCATGGCACCATAACCAGTGTGACTGAACAGGGATAAGACCGACAGCCATGTTGGTAAACAAACTAAACAATAATATAATAATAATAACAACCTTTATTTATAAAGCACTTTACAACTCATCTGAGCACAAAGTGCTGTACAGTAAGAACTAGCAAAATTAAAACACCTAAAACATTCTATACAAAATTATAAATAGCATATCATTGCCTCTATGGGATAGTAAAGAACATTTAAGCATCACACGCAAAATCCTGTTTAAAAGGTAGGTTTTTAAAACTGATTTAAAAATCGCTAAATCGCTTTTTCTCCGGAGCTCCTGCTGCACAGAATTCCACAGTCTGGAGCCGTGGACAGCGAAGGACCGGTCGCCCCACTTCTTATATCGCGACTGTGGGACCCTCACGCAGAGCTCTGCGCGGAGCATAAACGGAGAACAAGTCCGAGAGGTACGGCGGAGCGAGTCCGTGAATGGGCTTAAAAACGAATAACACCACCTTAAACTGCCATCTCCACAGTACTGGCCGCCTGTGTAATGAGCGGAGAACCTGGGTAATGTGGGCATATTTGGGGGTGTTGGACAACAATCGAGCCGCAGCATTTTGGACCAGTTGCAACTTCTGGAGCAGGGATTGAGACAGACCAGCATACAGGGCGTTGCAGTAGTCCAGTGAAAAATATTTAACTTGCACATTTTGAGACCGTTTGACCAACTTGACCAATGGTGTTTAAAACAATGGGCCTGTTGTCGTTACGTCAGTAAATCACCTGAACCCGGTGAACAAGCGAACCTGATGTCGCCTCTGGATTCAAACAACACGCTAAAGCCCAGTAAAACCAGAATCACCTGTAAGCTCGTCTCACCTGGCTTCCTCTGCATCATCAAACTGCCCAGGTACACAACCGACCGTCGACATGACGTCACAGTCCACAGACGCAGGTTAACACCAAAACCAGACATAAAACAAAATCCGAACCAGGCCCAGTGTTTCCGTTGGGATGTCAGCCAGCGGCGTGTCCTCCTTGCTACCGGGTCTGAACATGTGACTACGACAAGCGAAAAGGGTCAGTTGGCGAAATGCAGTTCCGAGCTACTCCGCCGGAGACGTGATGATTATTTGTAGTAGTAGTCGTGCTAGTACAGGTACAGTGTTGGGAGACCTAATTTAAAAATGTAGCTTTGCAAACTATCAGTTACTTCACACTAACAAGTTAAACTAGAGCAAAACTACTCTAGAGAGAAACGTAGTCTGATAACCCAAAGATATTTAGAAAAAGCGGTTCAATCTACTTTGTAAAAATAATTAAACTGACAATGTACATGTGACACAAAACTATAATAGAAATTTTAAAAATTACATGCAAACAAAAACAGACACTCAGTTAAGTTTATTTAAAAGAAAAAGCTATCCTAAATAAAACAATGCCATTTGTTATAGTTTTATCAGCTTACAAATATTGTTTGTTGATATTTGTATCATATTTCATGACCAATTTATGCAGAAAACAAGGAAAGTGCAAGCAGCACTGTGACTTTTTCTTGCGACTGCATGTGAAACATTTAATTGACTTTAGCGCAGGTCTAAAAAATACTGTATGAGCCTGTTGTGTTACTTGTACAAGCTTAACTACTAAAACTGTAGTTACTTACACCTTTTAGACCATATGAACAGCTCAAACACTGGCCTAAATGAGCCCATCTTTTACCGCTACTACTCAGAGGAGAATCTCTTGTTTATACAACACATGAGGAGTCTCTCAAACTTGTGTGTGTATTTGCATGTGTGTGTAGAGGGAAAACAGCAGCAGGGAAAGCACAGAACAGGCACAGTGAGCTGGGTCATTTTGGAGTGAAGGATGTCCAGGATGACAGTGTTGAATGGCGAGCAGAAGTGTATAGGTCCCTAGTGAGTTGAGGTGTTGAGGGATGTAATGCAGTGCCATGTTCACTGCATCATTCACTGACCCATTTGCCCACTAGGCAAACTGCAGGGGGTCCAGCAGGGGGTCTACAATGTCCTTCAGGTGGACCAACACCAGTCTTTCAAAGGACTTCATGACTACAGATGTCAGGGCGACAGGTCTGTAGTCGTCCAGTCCACTGGTGGAGGTTTTATTGGGGACTGGGGTGATGGTGAAGCGTTTGAAGCAGGAGCGAGGATACAAGAGACCACACAAAAATCTTTTATGTACTGACACGCCTCTTGTTTGGACCACTTCAGATAAAGAATAACAAATTAATATTAGAGGCACCCCAACCCTTAATTAGAACCGTGCAACAGCTTTTTCAATTCAGGTGCAAATTCAATGGTTCAGCCTATGTGGGGTGGATAAATGTATGACAGTCTTTAATTTATCTGCACCGTTTTAGTAATATCCCCACCTCTCTGCAGTCAGCTGGGAGTGGCTTCAGCCCCCACCCTCTACAGGTTAAGTGGTTTGGATAATTTAGTTTAAGGATATATTTAACATAAAAATTTCATATTCTGAAGAAACGTTGTGAGTAAAATATCAAAGTGATAATACAGATTTTATTTCACTTAATGTCTGAAATAATCTCCCACCAATCAAACCTTTTTTTTTTTTTTTTTAGCTCTAGTTATTTGTTTTATTCCACTCTTTATAAAGTCGGGATCTTTTAAAACACGTGTCAAACCCAAGGCCCGTGAGATCATTTTTTTCATTCCCGCTTCAATTACATCAGATCAATCAAGCATCTGTTGATGTACAGTGCCTTGCGAAAGTATTCGGCCCCCTTGAACTTTGCGACCTTTTGCCACATTTCAGGCTTCAAACATAAAGATATAAAACTGTAATTTTTTGTGAAGAATCAACAACAAGTGGGACACAATCATGAAGTGCAACGAAATTTATTGGATATTTCAAACGTTTTTAACAAATAAAAAATTCATCCCAGTGTTCCATCTAAGGGTGTGAACAAGCCTCTAGAGTCCAGATACTCACATACTGTAGTAGTAGGTGGACTCTTATCTGGACCCTTAACAAAATGTCAGTGAAACCTGACTGACACTGCTTGCAAGTGACACATTGCTACCAACTCCTTTCCCTGTAATATTTCAGACACTAGAAGCCACATTTAGCAAGCTTGTCAATGGAAGGAGCTAATGTTAAAAAGTGAAATATCAAGTTCAGCGTTCGCCATGCAAAGCATGGTTGATGGTGAAAGCCTGCACTTAAAGATAAGTATACTGAGCTATACTGATTCCTTCTGACTGAGAGAAGCATGAGACTGGTCTGCATAATTTTCAGTGAAATATCAGGCCATTGTGGAGAGTGGTAAAATGCCAAGCTTCCAGGACCCATGGCACCATTGAAATTTTGCAAGTAGACCTTTATGCATTGTATTTGAGTACTCTTTCTCTGGGGTCATTAAAGGCCTTGACTTAAATAACCTTCCATGGATCTCTTATTATATTCCTGTATATTTGTCTTTTGAATTGAGATGAGCAAAAGAAAAAAAATTAACAAACCATGTACCACAATGTTTATCAACCTGTCACAACCACAGCAGGAAATTAACAATCATTCTGCTCATCTATGTGTTTGCCAGTCTGTGTATGTGTCCTGTTTGTGTGGATGTTTTTCCTTGACTGCCAACAGAATTTCCTCTTTATCACTGAACTGTAGAGTGGAGCAGGAAATTAACAGTTATTCTGCTGATTCGCTTAGCCTGGCTGTTTACAGGCTGCAGGATGCCTCTCAAATTCCCTAATGCCTGTACAGTTTGTCTGGGTATATGCAGACATTTATTGTATATTTGTGTACGTGTCTGTACGTATATTCAAAGTACTGTATGTCTAAGGTTTGTCTATACTGTATCCTTGTAGCTGCTCCTTGTTATACACAGATACTGTATGTCCATTTTTCTGCTATTGTCTCACACCTTTTGTCTTTTTTTTTTCTTTCATGCCCTCTTTCTACACTGATGTCACCCCTTTTCAACAAAGGTAAGAGAAACACAAGTGTGCATGAGTATGCATCAGTGTGTGTTTGCCCATGAGTATGTCAATCTTTAGTGTAGCAGTGATCATTGATGCCTCCCAAGTAGCTGAACCAGGTTCAGTACCTGAGCAGCGTGTGATCTGTAAAACTTTCTCTCTGCAGGAAATGTGGTTTAGTGAGTGGATTAACATTGTGTGGGTGTTAAATCTTGACTACCTCAGTGAGATTTATTTATTTATTTGGTTGACACGCCTCTGCAACGTCGCATGGTGGTCGGGGACAGTGCCTCTGGACTGGCAGACCGGGGTGGTGGTCCCTAATTTCAAGAAGGGGGACCGGAGGGTGTGTTCAATAAAAGGGTAAAACATCCAAGGGGGTGAATACTTTTCATAGGCACTGTATGTTATACCTTGATTTTCTTTTCTTTTTTATCTTTGGCAAAGCTTACTAGTAGATCTTAAATAGTACTAAGTAAATAGTTCTTAAATAGTACTATACTAAGTAGGTAGAAATGTAAAATTATATCAAAAATGGCAGTGCATTTTCTTCTAGCACCTCAATACTATGCTCCAGGGCTCCAGGCTAATATTTCACATTGGTGGAACCATATCTCACGGATGGTTGTACCAGTGCCAGATTTGGTGTCACCACCTCTGTTTTACAGTGTAATACAAACTAATCTGTATTTTTTGCTAATTATTTAGGGGGAAAAAAAATAACTGGGGGAAATCACTTCTGGAACATGTTTCCACTTCTTTATATGGAGTCACTCTATAGCCTAGCAATCAACATGACAATAATGATGACATTGATGAAGAAGGGCAGCACGGTGGCACAGTGGTTAGGGCCGTTGCCTCACAGCGAGAAGGTTCCGGGTTTGGGCCCCACCTGGGACCTTTCTGTGTGGAGTTTGCATGTTCTCCCCGTGCTTACGTGGGTTCTCTCCGGGTACTCCGGCTTCCTCCCACAGTCCAAGGACATGCAGCTTAGGTTGATTGGTGTCTCTAAATTGCCCATAGGAGTGTGTTTGTGTGTGGTTGTTCGTCTATGTGTTAGCCCTGCGATGGATTGGCGACCTGTCCAGGGTGTACCCCGCCTTCGCCCGGCCGGGATTGGCTCCGCCCCCCCCTTCCCCACCGTGACCCTGTTCAGGGACTAAGCGGTAGAAAATGAATGAATGATGAAGAAGGTTAGACTATAATATTTCAACTGAAGCATAAACTGATGATAGGATAGGATGCCATACTTTGAAAAAAGTCAGTCACACCTTAAATAATTTTGGTCGCAAAATGCGACTGATCACTCGCCGTCTTGGAACCCTACTATAGATAATTGTGTTTGTATTGGAGTGCTTAATGGAGTGGCATGGCATTAGTTGGATGAATGTGGATACTCTATACTCTAGGGGTTTTAAATAAATACAATCAATTTGTGTATTTAATGCAGGGTTCATATCACTGTTGTTGTAGTCTCACCTCTACAAAACTGCACAAACAAACAGCAACCTTGTCTCAAGTTATCAGTCTCAGTAATAGAGTTGGATCAGTTAGCTGATTTAGTTGGCCATGACATAGGAGTGCATTGACAGTTCTACAGACTTCTTGAGGGCACCCTCCAGCTTGCTAAAATCAGTGCTCATGGCTCTAGACCAGTGACACGTGGCAGAATTCAAGGGCAAGACCCTGGAGCATTGATCATCATGGAGCATCAGCACTGATCGTGAGGGTAATGATTATCTTTCCTCACACAGTTCTATCCAGATTGATTGAACAATGTCTCATATCGCACACATTCTGTGTTTACTAACAGTCATGCTCCTCCCTCCTATTACCTCTTCCAACCCTCCACAGAGTGGTTTTTTTGGCTCTGGTCCTGATCAGAATTAATCTAGATTATCTGCTGGTACAGTCTCAATTTCTGATATTTGTGTATATACACTCAATTGGCAGTTTTATTAGGTACATCTGGTTAAAACTAATGCAGTCTAATACAATACTCTTGCAATAAACCTATGGGAAATTTGTGAAAACAGCATTATATCCGTGAGAAGAAGTACAGTTTCAAGCATGAGCAGAGAAAAGCTGTGTGCAACCAGGGACTATTTGAATGCAAGGACAGAGCTTTGAGAAAAAGATTTA